AAAAAAGTGTTAAATTATAATTGAGAATTAAAGAGAGATAATCAACAAGGAGATGGCAGCTACAACACCTGAGACAAGTAAGTTACCTGTGTGTTCGCCAATCAGAAAAGAGGAAAGCATTACAGTCAGAGGAAACATAAACATAAAGGAAGTTTCAAAAAAAGTCATTCGTTTTGGCTGGAAGGAAAGGTATCTATGTTTTTTTCGCTCTCAGTGAAACACAATTCTGGAGGGGACTACAGGAGGTCATTTAAAACTTTTTTTTCAGCAATCAGAAATTGGTTAAAAAATTACAATATGTTTTTTTCTTTTCTTTTTTTTTTAGATTCTACATATAAGTGAAATCATATGGTATTTGTCTTTTCTCTGACTTATTTCACTTAGCATAATCCCTCTAGGTCCATCCATGCTGTTGCAAATGGTGAGATCTCATTTTTTATGGCTGAGTAATATTCCATTGGATCTATATACAACATCTTCTTTATTCATTCATCTATAGATGGACAACAAACAAATGAACCAAAACAAAGACATATCTATAAATACAGAGAACACACTGATAGTTGCCAGAGAAGGGAGTGGGGGGATGGGCAAAAGGGTGAAGGGGAGTGGGAGGTACAGGCTTCCAGTTATGGAATGACTAAGTAATGGGGATGAGTGGTACAGCATAAGGAATATAGTCAGAGGTATTGTAATAGCGTTGCATATTGACAGACCGTAGTTCCCCCTGTGCTGAGCAGAGCATAATGGGCGAACTCGTCCAATCACTATGCTGTACAGCTGAAACTGATGTAATACTGTGTGTCAACAATACTTCCATAAAAATTCCTTCTTAAATCACAGAATCATAGAATCTTGGAATTGATTTGTATCTAAATTCATCTAGACACAACTCCACAAATCCAGTAGATTATTTCTTTGTAGCTCTCCTTATTCCAGAGATGTTGGAGGGCATTTGACATTTAAATTATATCCATAAACAACAACGATAACAAAATGAGGAGTAGGTAGGGGCCAAATATTAGAAAATGCTTAAGTGGAATTTATTCAGCAGAGAACAAAGACAAATACAACCTTAAAATTTATTTCTAGCCATCTGTGTTACAGGACAATTACCCTGGCAACAATGTGCAAGGTAGATTCAGAGGAGAGCTGAGGGGTGAGGAGATATGTGCCAGGTGCCCTGAGTGAGAAGAGGTGGGTGGTGGGAAACAACGTGAGGCTCATGTGTGAAGTGGTGTGGCCACTAAGAAAGGAAAGAGAGAAAAATGACAGGATTCAAGATTACACAAGGATAAATGAAATGGAGAGACAGCTGATGTTAACAGCCACGTCTAGCAGCTATGGAGCACCCACTAGGTACCTGACAATGTACCAAACACTCAACACCTGTTTCCTCCTTTACACCTCACAACAGCAGGTCCAGGTGATTTGATAGTGATAATTTTTCACATAATATCTAGCTTAATATCATGACAGCCTTCCAAGTTAGTTATTATTATTATACTCAATTTATATCTGAGAAAAAAGGCTAGAAAAGTTATATGACTATGTCAGAGTCAATAAATAATAGAGATAGGATTCAAATCTGATTTATCAGAAACAAATTAGGCAATAAATCAATTATATATATAATTATATAAATCATCTCTCCCTCTCCCTTTATAGGATATATTATAATATTATTGTATATTATATAATATATAGTATATGTTAAATACATAATAATTACATATTAATTATAATTATATATTAATAATTATACATGAATTATAAATTAATAATTGGTTAAATGACTATTTTTGAACTGCAAAGCCTCTGGCCATAACACAACACGGTCTCTACCGAGACACAGAAATTCTGAAGGGGACTATAAGTGGTCATTTAGAAAAAAAAACTCAGAAAAACTAATTATAGAATCATAGAATCTTGAAATTTACTTGTATTTAAATTCATCAAGACAGTTCCACAAATCCAGATGATTAATTCTTTGCAACCCACCTATTCCAGAGAGATTTTAGAGCATTTGGCATTTAAATTCTATTTATAATAATCTTGCGAAATAGTCTTCTAGAAATAAAATGAAAGGACCAATAAAAACAAAATTCTAGGAGGGGGCGGAGCAAGATGGCGGAGGAGTAGGAGACCTGGATTTCGTCTGGTCTCAGGAATTCAGCTGAATAGGGATCAAACCATTCTGAAC